ATGTGGTGGTGTAGACATCTATAAATAGAAGTATGTGGTGGTGTAGACAGCTATAAATAGAAGTATGTGGTGGTGTAGACATCTATAAATAGAAGTATGTGGTGGTGTAGACATCTATAAATAGAAGTATGTAGTGGTGTAGACATCTATAAATAGAAGTTATCCGTGGTGTAGACATCTATAAATAGAAGTAAGCCGTGGTGTAGACATATATAAATAGAAGTAAGCCCTGGTGTAGACATCTATAAATAGAAGTAAGCCCTGGTATAGACATCTATAAATAGAAGTAAGCCGTGGTGTAGACAGGATTTTAATTAAAGCATTGGAAGGGATGCGACTACACAGACATAAAAATCATAGGCGAGAAGGAAGCGACAGCCAAAAAGAGATGCAAACTGCATATATGTCATTTTAGTTTTACAATTTGCAATTGCCATGTCTTAACAATACCAATGTCACAGTGTTAAAATACAGAATATACTTTTCTATAATACAAATACAATGTTATAGTTATTTTGCTAGGTACAGTCCCTAGCGTTGCTTCACTTGAATAAATGTTATCTAAATTATTAACTAGACATTAATTAACTTATCCAGACCATAATCAACTTTCGATGTCAACGCTAGCCAGAGATGTTTACTGGATTAGGATACCATTTGTTGCTCCACTTTCATTCTTGATTTAATCATGAAATGGATAATGAAGACTATGTTTTTTATCGTACCGACTTTAGTAATGATGATCGAGGCTAAGCCGAAAATTCAATCGCTAAAATCTTGGTTCAGAGTGGATAAATTTGACTGTAATTTTCTGCAAATTGCCTTTACATTATCTAGTTTTTAACTATTATAATGAGAACTGCCTTCTCTTTATCTAATCTCCCATAATGTATCTTTAAAGAATTTGACTAATGTTTTATTACAGGTAAAAGTTCGGGACCGTCGCAAAATTTCAACACTTGCGTCTAAACGAATAACTCGCGGATAGATCTCCACCTGTTCATCCATCTACTCATCCATCAGCCCATCCACCCATCAACCTGCCCACATGATTCAAGATTTATTCGCGGTGTCGTTCAACCCATCCAGGGAGCCACGGTGGCCCTGTTCCGCGCGTAATTCGTTTGGACGCACCTGTTCAAGTTTTTCGATGAACCCTTACGGTATATTTTGTTTTGTTAAATCATCATACTACATTTAATTTAGTATTTTATATCGGCTGTGTCGTTCAGCCCAACCACCAGGTTCCGCGAGTTATTCTCTTGGGCACAAGGGTTGAAATTTTGCGACGATTTTGTTAAATCACACCACGCGGGGAGACAAGCTGTATCCGAAACGTGAAATGGAGTAGCAAACAGATTCTTGTCGGGGCTAACAGGTCACCATTTCAGAGGTTCAATAAAGCGCCGGATCATTTTCCAAAAAATATTCTGATTTATCAAATAAACACGGCATGATTTCATCCCTTAAATTATCTGTTAGTTCTTCGGCTACAGCTCGAAAATGTTCTGCTAGTTGGTGAGGTTTGTCTTCGTGAATTGCTTTAGAGTTCTGGACCAACACGGCGACATCTATCGGCAGGGTTACTATAGATACCACTAAACCACCGACAGCAGCGGCTTTACTGGCTCCACGCATAATACAAACTGCTACTCGAGATGTGTCCGAGGCTACCACAGTTGCCCTTCCTACCACCGCAGCACCATGGACGATACGTTCAGGATTTTCTAATTGGGCAGATTGCAATTTTAATTGAAGAGTCATATTAAAAAGTTTTTCCAGAGATTTATTGTCCTTTTCCAACGCTTCATTGATTAAAGTTTGTCTTTTTTTACTGATGAACGCATCTGCCAAGGAAGCTCCGACAGACGTTGCTGCGGATGCAACTCCCAGACCGGCACCAGCTATAGCCAGAGGGAGAGCAGCACCAAATGTGAAGAACGAACCCACAACGCCCCCAACAATCATGCCAGCTGAAACAATTCCACCAGTGGATCCGGCGATGTTACTTATCCGAACATCTCTCGCTAGTTTGTCCAATTCTTCGGCAGTGTCGTATAATAGACGGATTGTTTCTTCTCTGATCTTACAGAATTCTTCATACTCGTCTCCTGTTGGTGAATATGTTTCTTTTGTCGGCAAAGAATCGTCTCCTGTCAGTGAACATGTGTTTTCTGTAGGTGTAGATGTGTCTTCTGGTACGACATCTTTGATGCCTTCATCCGAAACCTCACAATAATCGCTGTGTTCGTTTGTTAACAGGGGTTTGTTTTCCGGTGTGCATTTATCTTCTGCCATGACAGGAAAATCTAATGATCATCTGTAACAATTACCGCCTGCAAAATAAACATGTCTTATTAATGCAAATGACCTCTCAAGCCCCCGGGTTCACATAATTTGCTTATTACAAGTCTTTCTTTAGGCCTGAAATATTATCTAAATTATCAATTAGACATTAATTAACTTATCCAGACCATAATAAACTCTCGATGTCAACGCTAGCCTTCGATATTGGCTGGATTAGATTCCTATATGCCGCTTAACGGCCATTGATAATTAAATCAAAACGGTGGATAACCGAGACTATGCTGTTTATATTAATGATTTTAGTAATGATGACAGAGACTATGCGAAAATTTCACCCGCTTCGTTCTCGGCCCATAGTGGATCAATTTGACTGAAATTTTCAGCAAATTACCTTTACACTATCTAGTTTTTAACTATTATAGCGAGAACTGCCATCTCTTTATCTTATCTCCCATAATGTATCTTTAAGTTAAGAATTTACTCAACTTTCAATAACTGTTTATGAGAAATATCTTTGATCCAGAAACACAAAACTTTGAACATAGTTTCTTATTTATGTATTTGATACATTAAAACAACAGAAGTTTTATAAAGGGCTATATTTAATTTAAAATCGAGCGAACAATTTTGAGTAAATTCTTAACTTAAGTCTAAGAATGCTTTGTGAACTCGAGCCCAAATCTTAACAGTCGGACCCCCAAAACCTTCACCCCATCCTAACCGCCCCTGTCTACCCAACGAGCTTGAACATAGCCACAACTATAGCCCCTACCTCAACACAGACTCTATACACTGAATTGATACAAATATAAATAGATACGCTATTCCACACCTGTCAGGTAAATTGATTGATTATTCACCTGTATATAATCATAATCTATCAACCATATATTAAATAAAACTTGTATATTGGGTTACAGTTTTCGTTTTGACAAATTGGCTGATATGTGTTATCGGATTCAAAGTTAAAGCGAACATAAAACGGTAAATCCGGCACTGGAAAAACCCTATATGGTGCTTCGATTTAATTGGTGCTTTAAGCACATATTGATTTTGCTTAAAGTTTGCACTAAGCTTCCGCCAGTCAGAATAAACGTTGTCAATATTTAGCCTCCGATCCTACTTACTGTTAACTATGCATAATTTCATATAATATTGCCCGTTTAACCTTCGATAACAAAGTTAAATATAAACAAATAATAGAACTTGTTTATCCCTCGATGACGTCGTTAAATGTAAACAGGTGTTATTTGGTAAGAGACTGATTTAAGACACAGAGAGACAGCGGGGGGGGGGGGGGGGTAAGGTCCACTTGACACAAACAAGGTCATTTCGGGACTAACATATATCGTTCAATTTCATTTCAATAATTCGCTTGAGCGTAGGGGTCTTTAGCAATGGGAGGACCAGGAGAAAACTCACGAGGTTGGACAGGCGACCCTACTCCTTGTCCCGCACAACCGGGGAATCGAATCTCACGCCAGTTGACTCAATGACAGACCTTATGATACAGCGCTAACCATTCGGCCAACCAACCCCCCGACTGATTTAAAAAGTTGGGGTTTGAAACACTAGGGTGATGGGCATTCTGCACACAGGTAACTACATGTATGTACTTCGAGAATAGATCTCTGCCCTAAATGGCCGCCATATTCAAAATTTAATATACTATTCTGTAATGTGGTTCTACTAAAATTCGTTACATACCATAACACAAAAAGACCAAATGAACCTTTTTAATTTTATTAACTGGAAGCGGAATCAATACCTCTCAAAAATCTTTAAGTATACGTATTGCTTTCGACTAAAAATCCTCGATTTTGGAGTTAAAATGTCTGTTAACTAGCTTAGTGTCTGTTCTCAAGGGGGACTAATTGTAGACAGCGTAAGTTTAGTATGGGCGGTGGGGATACAGTAAACTCTAATATATATTAGGCCTATATGTGAAGATAGGACATAGGATATTGCTACTTTCGTGGTTATTGAACTCTCGTGCCAATAGTAGTATAAATTAAATATAAACCCACTTTATTATCATGAAAAAATACTAACAAATGAATAGAAATCAATACCTCGACTATATAAGATACACAAACATGAAGCCTAACAGTAAGAACGAAGCCGTGAAACGACTAGATCAACACATGGAATAACCGTAGGGAAGACTTGTAACTTTAATATTACCTGAAGAACCTACCTGTGTTCACACGTTATCCACCATGACAAGTGATGTCATTATAATACAGCGTTCGATTCCTTCTGCGTGCAATACGGCAGCTGTTACTATGATGTCATGCTCACGAGCCCCGTCCTGCAACAAAACAGAGTTGCTTCCCTTTATTTACAAATCTCCTTATTTTGATAACCATCGTATGACCTAGTCTCCGTCCCCGCTGCAGATCACAGTAGCTGTTATATATCCAGGTCATAAACCAAAATGCAATGCCGCCTAAAATGCCACAATTCATCCACGACTTATAGCTACTCAGGCGGCAGCTACCCAGTCTTTTTAATATGGTTCATTCATGCCCCATTGTGTCGTCCTTAGTACTTCCCATGCTAATTTAACGACGATTAAATAGGGACATTATAGTTGCTTAAAACCTAGATAATACGGAATGTGAGTTCTGTACATTTGAAGTAACGTCAGGGGTCGTGAGTCAAAATTCCCATTTAATTTCACATCGCCTAGCTGTAAGCCTTCACATAATATTTTATTTCTCCTTGAAGACGCGCGCGTGGTAGATCAAGCAGACGAACTTATGGTATCGCCGAGTGACCTACTTATTATGTTTATTATTTTGTAGAGAATTCATTTGTTTTGTTCAAGCCAGCACATTACGGTTTGTATAACCTATCGATTGTTGCTTCTTTTTTAAACCAAGGATCATTGATTTAAATCAATCATAGGACAACTAGTTCGATCTGAAATCAAACTCTTGAAAATAAATAAATGTTTTAACTGTATATAGGCGATGATTCACAAATGATTATTAAGAACGGCAACAGAGAAACCACTCCAGAGTAATTTGCTTGCTGTTACCGAAAAAATGTCATACGTATTTTATAATATACATTTGTTTATGTAGGCTATGGTGGCCCGGTCGTACAACTAAATTATACAAAAATATTTATTTAACTTTTGCTGGGTGGCTTACGGGTTCTCGCGAAGTGCCATATTTTAACTTTGACGGGGAAATTATATATGAAGTGGGGTTTAACATCCTAATACTGTGCTGCTCCTACTGAACTTGGAACGGTTGAACAGGACGTCAACAAGATCACATTTACTGGTGGGTCATTCCATGTCAAGTGGACCAAATTTCGGAAAATTGGGAACATGACCCCCTCCAAAAAAATTATGTTATAGTACATGGACTTAAGCTAACGAATATAAAATAAAAAATCATAACGGTAATCGCTATTTAGAACTGGTTTATTGACATAATTCCAACCGATATGTCACGTGTCATTGGAATTCGATAATGGAGATTCTGTCGGGAAAATATCCACTATTTCTCTCTCCGTGTATTCGATGTTCTATCAGGGGATTATATTCAATGAAGATGTAAATTTACCTAACAACTGGTCAGTGAATCCATCAATGTATTATCCAGTTATTATTTTAATATCTACCGGTACCTGGAATTCACCGGAATGACCTAGTTTGTGTCGAGTGGACGTTAAACCCCATTTATCGGTCTCTCTCTAATCGGCTTGAATACAACCCCATGGTTAACACTGACCCTGACTGACATTCAATAGTCAGACTCGACAATTCTCAGAGATTTTTGGGTTTTTTTTTTAAGAAAATTTTACGCGAATCCTTGTCGATTCGCAGCGTAAACTCTTGCGAGAATCCTTGCGCGAATTAGATTCGGAGATGCGCGTGAATTTCTAGCCCTGCAGTGGTACTTTGTCAGGAGCAGTAACATGACAGTCCTTCTGTTTGATCTGGTGTCTCCCTAAAACATCGGACAGTTGGTTAAATGTATTAAAATCTGGTGAAAGTATTGTTTGTCTGCTGTGACGTCCAACAGATAATAAAAGGATTCACGTGCGGCAATTACCCAATGTTTACGTTGTAATTATTTAGAATATTTGTCACACAATTAGTTTCTCTGTATATTCTGTTATGCAATGGTTAATTTGAGCGTAATACGAAATGAAATGAAATGGGGTTTAACGCCCTACTCTTCTGCTCCGAACTGGGCTAAGGAAGATGGCATACGCCATACAGTGTGCTATGCGTGAAATTGTGCCCGGATAGCGACACTACGGCCTACTCTTATATCGAATTCCAACTGTCAAGGGTTATTTTACGTGCTCGCCAATGTGTACACGGGACCTCGGTTTTTCATCCTATCCGAACGACTATGGAGGAACCACGCCGGAAAATCTGGATGAACTTTCTCGGCCAATGCAGGGATCCAACCCCGACCTCCAAGCTAACGAGCCAGCGTCTTACCCACTTAGCCACCGTGACCCTCCGAGCGGAATACGTTATCGCGTAATGTATGTGTGTGAAATAGCTTTATTTAACGTCCGCTGCATCGGAAGTGATGTCACCGACAAATATAGTAATGCAGCCGCGATTGACATTATATACCTTTCTGTAACCATATTTAGAGCTCTGGTTAATCCAGATTGATTTTGTTACACTGTAATTTAGTTCTTGATGACCCCCCCCCCCCCCCAAAAAAAAAAAAAAACCAAACAAAACAACTTTTTAAAAAAAAACCCAACCTTTTAACCTAATTCATCAATATTTTCAATCTATTTTATAAATAATATATATGCAGTGAGACCAACTGGGCAGGCGCCATTACAAACCTTTTGGATCTTATACATTATATAAACCATTTGTTTTATTGATTATGCAAGAATACGTGTAGGTCTTTTATGTAAATAATGCGATAATCCAACACGACACGAATACAAAATACATAAAGATAGGTTGCTAGGCAGTCAACAAGAGTTGTCGCATATTTGTTATATTGACTGTAATGAAATATTTATAATACACTATTATCAGAAAATCATTAGAATTTGTTTGATCTTTAGTTCTGGCCCATGCTAACGTTTAGTATACGAAACATTTAATATCATGAATTTAGCTGTTCAAGTTACCAAAATGCATTGAAAATCAATATACGTGTTCGTCTCAAGACCTTTTGTGTATCAATCTGAAGTCAATCGGATGATAACTTTGGTTTCTGATCAAGGGCCATAGCTCTGGTAGTAATTATCGGAAATCGTTGAAAATCAATAGGCTTCTTCGTTTCATGACCTTAAATACTGTGTATAAATCTAAAGCCAATCGGGTATTAACTTTAGCCTCTAGAGCGTCCACAAGATATTTCAAAGTGAAGTGATCAAGGGCCATAACTCTGGCAGTAATTATCATAAATCGCTGAAAATCAATTAGGCGTCTTCGTCTCATGACCTTAACCACTGTGTTTAAATTTAAAGTCAATCAGATATTAACTTTAGCTTCTAGAGCGTCCACAAGCAATGTGGCCGCCGGGCCGACGGACGGACGGACGAGGACGACGACAATATACGACCACATTCAATGTGGGTGTATAAAAATAGAATACGTTTTTGAACATCATTTTGAGGAATTGTTAATCCCTTGAAAACTATATATTTATTGTGAAAGATGAATCACCGAATTCTGAATGGTCTAGTTGCCTTGGACAAATTAGGTTTTCTTGCGTATTTGTGTATGTGGATCTAACTTTATTCGTGATTCGTCATTTTCACAGAAATATCATAATAAAGGTATGTTTTTATATCTTCAGACACTTCGTGTGATTGGACATCAAGAAGTCAAGATATCAGACACGTCTTCTGATTGGACAGCAAGAAAACGAGATGCCAGATAGAATTCACAGACCGTATTTCGATTTCAGTGAAGAATTAAATTTCTTTTGGACTAGCCTAATTTTACTACTGTTTGTCTCCATGGTTACATTTCTCCGATACGTATTTTTAAATTCTCTTATAACCTGCTGGACCCCTGCCCAGTTTGAATTCCAACACAATGTTTACACTCATCAAGAATGCTGGAATCAAGACCGTGTCATGGTAGATGGATTTGATAATTTAATGCCAGACCACGAATTTCGACCCAATTCGTTCAATGATAAGACGTTTCATCGATGGATTCCGATAGTTCTTGTTTTCATGATGTTAGCATTCCAGATACCACGTGCTTTTAAGATCATGACTGATCTGCTTTTAGGAATACCGACCGCCATGGTGAGAGAAGACATTGGTACTAATTCAAGAGCAGACAGAGCCCAAGAACTGGCCGATACAATTAAAGAAGCCGGGGAGAGGAACCGAGTTATTCGTACGATGATATTTTTTCTGGTCAAAATTCTCGTCGGCCTCAACATCATCATTCAGATATCATTTGTCAAGTGGTATTTTCGGGATTCTGTTCAAATTATTGGTCGTGATAATGAAACCTTGGTCACTCCTGTCCATATGTTTCCTAAAACAATCAGGTGCCATTTCGAAATACGACAAGTCCAAAACGTCCATGAATACCTCGTACAATGCAAGATGCCGGTCAACTATTTACTTGAACAGTTTCTTTTTATTTTCTGGTTTTGGCTTTTGGGCGTTGGTATTTACACTGGCCTCGTTTTCATCACCCAGTTGGCATCGCTTATTATCCCGCCATTTGTCAGACTTCGATTCCGTGGAATTATTCCTGACAAATATCTGAGTCAAAGAGGTTTTTGTTTCGACGATGCGTTGCTGTATTTGTGGGATGTTGAGCATAGTTCAGGATTAAGCATGGCCAGAGAAGTTGCTGTCAAATTATGGAACCCTCCACCACTCGTTCAGCCAGGAATTGGGGCGCATAACCCGCACATGGTTCAAAACCCGGTTCATAATGAAGCCGTTTGCTCATACAATCCACAGAGCATTCCCATGAGAACACTTGATTCAGGCGGAACAAGTTCGCAACCCCTTTTAGATCCGCGTCTTAACAAAACCTAAAACATCCGGTTCGATTTGAGATGTTCGTGTCCCAAAAAGGACACTGGACGCCCGTGGAAGACTAACCGTTTGATGGCCTGTCTATACATTCACAACAAAAGGTTTTGACTAAATTTCATTTTCAAGGACCTGTGAGAGGGTTTCCCAAATTTTTTAAAACGTAGGCTGTCTTTGCTCTGGGGATACGCTAATTGATTTACGTCTTGAATTGTGAAGTTATGAATTTAGAAATGTTGAATTTGGAAATGTTGAATTAAGAACTTTGAATTTAAAATTCCTGGATTTAGAAATCTCGAATTTAGAAATCGTTGGATGGATTTATGAAACATGATTTACTGGACGATATGAGTAAACGACACTTTATGATTAAATACATTTTGTACTGATATTTTTCTCGTGACCACGGTTCATTGAGGAACGGCGACACTTTGATAATTTTTTCACCCTTAATTCACTGATATTTCTTTGATAAGCAATCTGATTAGAATACAGATCTATATTTCGTTTCGTTTTTTATACTTTCGATGGCCTGCACTACATGAAGATCTGACAAGTTATAGTGGGAGTTCACGTCAGGGGTCAAGTAAGTGGCTTTTGACCCTATGAAGTCAGGCATTGATTAATCAATCAGCGTTGACGTTTCTAGTAGTATAACGCCTGTTATATAACAACTCCTCCAGCTCCTAGTGTAGTAAAGTTAAGTAAAACGAAATTTTGAACTATAAAAACGAAACGAAATAGGATCTGCCTTTTGATCAGATTGTTTGATAAACATGATGGTAATTGCTTTTGTTCAAAATTACGAGGGATAGAATCGAAATCGACGCGCTCTGGAAGACCATCAAATTATGTTATTTGGAAATATTGCTTGCTTTCATATAATTTGATAATGGTGTAAATGCATGCTTTTATATAATTTGATATTTACAGCTAATCATGTCATGTTGAAGTATTTTTTATATAATTTGATATTTACTGTTAATGACGTGATGTTGAAATATTGCATGTTTTTATGTAATTTGATATTTACTGATAGTTACGTCATGTTGAAGTATTGCATGTTTTTATATAATTTGATATTGATAGATAGTGACGTATGTTGATAATTACACAAAATGTGAAATTTACTGATATTGACATCATGTTGAAATGTTGCGTGTTTTTATATAACTTTTAAAATATTTACCGATAATGACATCATCTTAAAGTTTTGCATTTTTGTCCCCCGCCTTTCGAAGAAAGCAGGGGACTATTAAAATGGGTTCGTCCGTCTGTGTGTCCGTCCGTCTGTTTGCCCGTCTGTCCGTCTGTCTGTCCGTCACACTTTTTGGGACACAATAACTCTCTTCCTAATTGAGCTAGAATGTTCAAACTTGGTGTATGTGTTTATTAGGTCAATGCCTTGATGGAGTTCGAAGATGAGCATTTTCCGCTTAGGGTAAGCAGAGATAAGCAATTTGATTGGTTGATGCTTTGGGACACGATAACTCTCTTCCTAATTGGGCTAGAATGTTCAAACTTGGTGTATGTGTTGATTAGGTCAATGCCTTGATGGAGTTCGAAGATGAGCATTTTCCGCTTAGGGTAAGCAGAGATAAGCAATTTGATTGGTTGATGCTTTTCCGCTTAGGGTAAGCAGAGATAAGCAATTTGATTTGTTGATACTTTGGGGCACGATAACTCTCTTCCTAATTGAGCTAGAATGTTCAAACTTGGTGTATGTGTTGATTAGGTCAATGCCTTGTTGGTTGATGCTTTAGGACAAGATAACTTTGATAGAGAGTGATGAAACTTAAGTGTATAGTTGATAATCAGTTTGATTGCTTGATACTTTAAAAAAAATAAATGTGCGATAAATTAATGTGTCATCTATTTATTTTGGTATTTTGGCGGGGGACATCAGCCTCACTGTTGGCTTGTTTAAATATATATATATTGTCATGTTGAAATATTGCAAATTTTATATCATTTAGTATTTACTGATAATGACGTCATGTTGTTATATTGCATGCTTTAATATAAGTTGATATAAGCAGGTTAAACGTTTACTATTAAACAGCTATTCATCAGTTTATAGAGGTTACTTTGTGGTGAATTAGAATGCATTCTCCATGTTCTTCTTATTGTTGCCCTTGGGTAGATGTTCTTCGGAAACATTCAAAGCCTCTGTCCATTTGATTAAGATCGACATAAAATTCGACATGTTTGTTCTTTGGACATTTGCCCGATTGGACGTCACAATTAAAAAGTGGAGGGTTGGATGGTCGAATGGTTAGCACATGCGCGCTGTATCATAAGGCCTGCCATTGAGTCAACTGGCGTGGTTTCGAATTCCCGGTTGTACGTGACAAGGAGTAGGGTCGCCTGTCTAACCTCGTGGGTTTTCTCCGGGTCCTCTGGTTTCCTCCCACTGCTTAAACCCACCACGGGCAAGTGGATTATTGAAATAAAATTAAACCATATGTTAGTCCCGAAATGACCTAGTTTGTGTCGAGTGGACGTTAAACCCCCTCTCTCTCTCTTTCTCTCTCTCTCTCTCTCTCTCTCTCTCTCTCTCTCTCTCTCTCACACACACACACACACACACACAATTACAATTTCAAGATGGCTGCATTTACGTCATGGACAATTGTATGTTAATAAGAGCAAACAGCTGAACAATGTTGTGATTGTGAAATAAATTTTTTTATTTGCAAAGGTAAACACCGATATTACGTAAACTACTGTGAGCCCACGTTAGCTCAGTGAGTAAGGCGCTACGTGACAAGAAACACTGTCTAATCATTCGAATGACACGAAAAACCGAAACCCCGTTCACACATTGGCGTGCATGTTATAGAACCATATTGAAAGTTTGGAATTCGAAAAAAGAGTAGACCATAATGTTGCTATGAGGGCAAAATTTTACCCATGCCGAATTCTCGTCTTCATTTGCCCAGTCGGTGCAAAAAAGTAGGACGTTAAACCCCATTTCATTTTCGCGACCACTAGTCGACAGGAAACAAGAAAAACAAGCAGGGTCTTGGTTCGTTTTATTATGGATACATTACAAACTTGTTCCAAAACAAGAAAATATCATAATTCATTTATATGAAATATTGAAAGTCCAAATTAAAATTGCTGATGGTGATAGATGAAAATATTATCAAATACTCCGAGAAAAATCATAAAATATTCAGTCTTAGACAACTCTATTTAGTACAATTTTACAAATTCTCATAAAGTATGATCATGAAAGATAGAGCATTATATATTCTCGTTGAGTATACTAATTAGATATAGAGCCTCAAATATTGTCATAAAGTATGATAATGAAAGACAGAGCTTTAAATATTCTCATTGAATATAATAATTAGATATAGAGCGTCAAATATTGTACGGTGATTAAATATTTCTCTTAAAGTATGATATTAAGATATAAAGCCTTTAATAAGCCTTTAATTAAAATATAAAGCCTTTAATAAGCCTTTAATTAGAATATAAAGCCTTTAATATTCTCATATAGTATGATAATAAAATATAGATCGTTAGATATTCTCATATATATAGTATGATAATACAGCATTAAATATTGTTATATAGTATGATAATAAAATATAGAGCGTTAAGCATTCTGATAAAGTATGATAATAAAATACAGAGGTTTAAATATTCTCATAAAGTATAATAATAAAATGTAGGGTTTTGAATATTCTTATAAAGTATGATAATACAGCGTTAAATATTTCCATGTAGTATGATAATAAAACATAGAGACTTAAATATTCTAATATAGTATGATAATAAAATATAGGGTTTTGCATATTCTCATAAAGTATGATAATAAAATGTAGGGTTTTGAATATTCTCATAAAGTATGATAATAAAACATAGAGACTTAAATATTCACATATATATAGTATGCTAATAAAACATAGAGACTTAAATATTCTCATAAAGTATGATAATAGAACGTTAAATATTCTCATAGAGTATGATAATAAAATATAAAGCGTTAAATATTCTCATATAGTATGATAATAAAATATAGAGCGTTAAATATTCTCACATACATGTAGTATGATAATAAAATGTAGAGCTTCCAATATTCTCATATAGTATGATAATAAAATATAGAGCGTTAAATATTCTCATATAGTATGATAATAACATGTATAACTTTAAAGATTCTCATATAGTATGATAATAAAATATAGAGCGTTAAATATTGTCGTATAGTGTGATAATAACATGTATAACTTTAAATATTCTCATACAGTATGATAATAAAGTGCAAAATTTGAGGCATATCCGCCAATATATCGCTTCAGCCTAATGTACAAGGTCGATATTGTGCTTGCCCGTGTAAGCAAGATGCCCCGGTGTTGTCGAAATCAGGACTGTATGTGTGTTCGTACATCCAATTTACAGGCGACGATTTAGGGATTGCTCTCGTTTTTCTTATAACTTGACAAAATAGTGGCGCACATGGATGAAAATCTTAGTAATGAGTGCCACCATTTTGTACGATCACATGATAGTGCTTACGCTGATTGATCAAACAAAACTAGTACTGCACAAGAGACTACAGTTGATAAATGATTGCAGACCGACAAAATTCGATATTTGTTAATGTCGCAGTAACGAACAAGCGGCTGATATTGCTAGCAATATTGGAGCAAGTAACAATTGTGTACAAATTGCCTTTGGTCATCGCCTGTATGCCCCTGGTTTAAAAAGATATCCCCGGAGTCATTACTTAGGTAAATTCCAAGGAGATACGCGGCCAGAGATCAGTATCGAAGGAGCTGATTGTTTTGCCCGACAGAACATCGCCCACAAAAATACCGTTTGCTTTCATGCTGATGTAAGGCTGTAAAAAGGATTGGGGTCTGTACCTAGAAACAGGCTATTGTCTTCACTGTGCAAATAATGATCTTAACGAAATATCTAATTGTTTAATAGTAATCGTGACTACGGAAGACCAGATTTTTCCGATCTACTAACGTCCATCAATGGGGAGGTGCTTGTATCAGCCTCAGCGTTCATTCCAATATTCGTCATGGGCATACTGGTCAATGCATCTTCTCCCACGTGGAAGCCCGATTGAGAGTTATACCCCTTTGGCCCCTGGTTCGCGCTCGACTGTGGTGATTGGGATAAAATGGCGGCCACTTTTCGTGTCATTGCCAAGCCAGATCTATTCTGAATGTCCAACAACATCAACAGCGAATCATCGACAGAAAAATTCCTTTGGTTTAATTCTTTTACAGGAATAATTCCTCGGAATCGCAGTCTGACTATCGGCGGTACAATAAGCGAGGCCAACTGAACGACCAAAACGAGGCCAGTGAATATGCCGACGCCCAAAAGCCAAAACCAGAAAATATGAATAAACTGTTCGTATAAATAGTTGATGGGCATATTGCATTGGATGGTATGACGTTGAACGACCTGAAACTGTCTGACTGAAAAATCGCAGAGAATGGTTTTAGGAAAGATGTAAACCGGAACCGTGATGGTTTTGTTCATCCTCTCATTGTATGTTTCAATGGTTTCCTTTCTAACGGAATCTCTGAAATAACGTGAGACAAAAATAAACTGGATAAGAAGATTAAGGCAGACTAAAAGTTTGACAATAATGAAGGATAGAGTTCTAATGAATGAGCTTTGATTCTGAGATTCTCTGATGATATCAGCGAGTTGTTCAGCATTTTCTGTATTATTCGCATGGTTGTCCTTATCGCTAATTGTGGTGGTCGGATTTCGTAGAAATAAATCAAACACCAACTTGACAGCACGTGGTATCTGGAATCCCAACATCATAAATATTAGAACCACTGGAATCCATGTATGGAATGTTTCTGTTGACCTTTCACCGCCGTGATTTGAGACTGGGATGACATACTGCAAGGGAAGGTAGACCTTGCCTTGTTCCCAGCATACCTCGTGTGTGTATTTTCCCAGTTGGTCAGTGAACTGAGCAGGCGTCCAGCAGCTGATTAACGACTCCAAAAATACATATTTAAGCACAGCAACCAGAGAAACAAACAGTAGCAGAATTAAACTCGTCCAATAAAAGTTCAGTTTTTCACTGAAGTCATAATACGATGAGGCTAGACTTCTACCCATCTTCATCAATGATTGGATTCTGAAAATAAAAAGAATAAAAGTACATGTAAAATTCCCCAAGAAAGTGCACAGCGTGTGAGACATCTTTTGTTAGCAATGTGTTGCATAATATATTAAAATATCCCCTGTTGTGTTTGGCCTCCTACTTAAAGATACGTTATGGGAGAATAGATAAAGAGTTGGAAGTTCTCACTATAATAGTTCAAAATTAGATAATGTAAAGAGAATATGCTGAAAATTTCAGTCAAATTGATCCACTCTGAACTGAGATTTTAGAGATTGAATCATTACTTAAGTCGGTACGATATAAAAAAACATCGTCTCGATTATCCATTTCATGATTTAATCACGAATGAAAGTTGAGCAGCAAATCGGATCCTAATCCAGTAAATATCGCAGGCTAGCGTTGACATCGAGACTTGATTATGGTCTGGATAAGTTAAATAATGTCTAATTAATAATTTAGATAAGATTTCAGGTCTAAAGAAAGAACTGCAATAGGCAGATTTAGCTATTGCATAATGTATGTTTAATATGATTAATACAATGACGTCATTATTAATGTGACGTCATAATGTATGTATAATATACTAAGATATCCTCTGCTGTGGTTTTTGATCTTCTAGTTAATATACCAAGATATCAACTGCTGTGGTTTTAACGAATGTACCTCATAGCACACTGCTGCGGATTTATTTTGGATTTAACGTATGTGCCGTATAGCACACTGTCGACAGTTGAAGGCAAAATAGAGTACTAGATTGTTACTGTTGAAGGCAAAATCAACCATAATTTATGCAGAAAATTTGATAAAATAGGCATTTTGAGCCCCACCTCTCACAACAACAGAAGAGAACTGATTATTTTACAACGCCGCTTCCAGGGATAAATTCTCCACACTCATGCTATGCTGAACATGTAAATATTGAGGGGGGGGGGGGGGGCGAATGGTTAGCACGTTAGTCCCGAAATGACCTAGTTTGTGTCGAGTGGACGTTAAACCCCATCTCTCTCTCTCTCTCTCTCTCTCTCTTAAAACAAATCATTATAACCTATGTAAGGCAACACAGTAGTTAAGATCTCATTAACTAAATATAACTCCCGTTTTTTTTCTCTCCACCCGGGATAATGTCATGCAGTATGCTTTGGGGGACATTTTGGGGTTCACGGTGGCTAGGTGGGTAAGACGCTGGCTCGCTAACCTGGAGGTCACGTGTTCGATCCCTGCATTGACCGAGAAAGTTTATCGGGATTTTCCGACGTGGTTTACCCTTGTCAGTGGTGCAGAACCGTGGGCCTGACAAGGACAGCTGTCTAGTCCTTCGGATGAGACGAAAAACCGAGGTCCCGCGTATATACTGGAATGCACGTAAAAGATCCCCTGCCAGATGGAATTCGATATAAGAGTAGGCGATTAAAATTTCCCTCATAGCACACTGTATGGCGTATGCACGTCTTCATTAGCCCAGTATAGGAGCAGAACAGTAGGACGTTAAACCCCATTTCATTTCATTTCATTTCATTTGAGGGACATTTTGCCCGAACAGCGCCGATACGTCTACTCGTATATGGGGCACCGACTGCCAGGGGTTCTTTTAGGTCCATGCCTCGGTTTTTCGTCCCATCCGAACGGCTACAGCTTGTCCCTTGCTAAACCCTCCGTCCTGCACAACTGACAAATGAGTATTTTCTCGGACAAAACTGGGAGGGAATTCGATACCTCCTGATATTAACGCCAAGATATTTCTATCCTAAATACATAGCCCCGTAATACAATCCCTACTGCTAGGTTATCAGGCAGATTATATACAAATAGAGCCCCATAAAACCATCGCTTATACTGCTAGGGTATCGGGCTGACTATATACAAATAAAGTCCCATAATACAATCCCTACTGCTAGGGTATCAGGCAGATTATATACAAATAGAGCCTCATAAAACCATCGGTTATACGGCTAGGGTATCGGGCTGACTATAATATATCGTATGAACTTGAATAATTTATTGACAAATTCTTCTATTAGTCATTAATTATCTTATTACAGTAAATTATTATTCTGTGTAATTACATCTAAAATGGCAGGGTCATGGTATTTATCTGATAAATTGATATAGAAACAGCGTAAAAATTCTATAAACTTAAGGAAATGGCACGGAATGTTAGTTTAACGGAATAGCATGATATAGGATTTAATGGAATGCCATGGAATGGGGTTTAATGGAATGGATGGGGCTGGGTTTAACGGAAAACGTCAACATTGATTAATCAATGTCTGACGTCATAGGTCAAAAGCAGCTCGTATGATCCCTGACGCGATCTCCCAGTACAACTGGTCAGATCTTCATGTAGTGTTTGCCATCGAAAGTATAAAAAAACGAAACGAAATATAGATCTGTATTTTAATCAGATTGGTTTCGACCGAGATCAAAATTATCCGAGCATTTAGTTTGGTATATTGAAAGATGCATTATGTAAAATATAAATAAAGAGGGGATCACGTGGCTAAGTGGGTAAGACGCTGGCTCGCTAGCCTGGAGGTCGGGTGTCCGGGCAAAATTTCCCTCATAGCACACTGTATGGCGTATGCCCGTCTTCATTAGCCCAGGTTAGGAGCAGAACAGTAGGACGTTAAACCCCATTTCATTTTATTTCATTATAAATAAAGAACTGACAGTTCTCAATATAATAGTTACAAAATAGATAATGAAAAGGGGATATGCTGAAAATTGTAGTCATATTACTTCCTTCTGAGCGGAGTTACGATATTATACAAAGTCTCGATTATTCATTTTGCGAATTAAATTACTAACTGCCAATCGTGTTAAATATACATTTGAACATCAAAACCATCCGATTGTCAACTACGTTTATTATGGACTTAGCATGTGTATATATAACAACATTTCAGGTCAAACGAAAGATCTGCATTTACAGATATAGCTCATGCATTGCATCTTTAAGTATTTGGACATAGACATTGACACAAATAGGTCGCAACGCATATAACAATGTAATATGAATGTATACATGTAAACTGATTTACATTCAATCGTTTCCGTTTTTAATCTAATTTCAAATCAGTTACGTTCGGCGAAATACGGCATGCTCTAGATAAGAATATGAGGTCACCGTTTGACATGACTTGTTGAATATGTCTAGCCTTGTTCTTCGAGTTCCTTGTTACAAATAAAATGAAACGCATTATTCGTGTACCAATGGAAAAATGTTTATTTTGTCTTAAATATCGGATATCGGAAACCCAGTATGTATTTAAATTGATAAATAATTCGTGTTTTCAATGTGGAAGACTTTGGATGCTATAGTTCGAGCTACTTTACTAGTAAGTGCAGGAGGACCGCACAACGCGCAAAACAAAAATCTACAAGATAAACCTGCGGACACGACAGAAAATAGACATTGCACCAAATAAACAAATATCAGATTAAGTGAATATATCCGGGGGCCAACCGCAAGCGTCCACTGCGCTGCACAGTCCCAGGCCTGTCATGTTACAGGCTTCACTCAAAAAGAAAAAGTTATTGTATATTTAATTTTTTGTATTCTTGTATATTTAAAGATACATTATGGGAGATAAGATAAAGAGATGGCAGTTCTCGCTATAATAGTTAAAAACTAGATAGTGTAAAGGTAATTTGCTGAAAATTTCAGTCAAATTGATCCACCATGAGCCGAGAAAGAAGCCGGTGAAATTTTTGCATAGTCTCGGTTATTATTACTAAAATCATTAATATAAACAGCATAGTCTCGATTATCCACTTTTTCTGATTTAATTATCTTTGGCCGTTAGCGACATTTAAGAATCTAATCCAGCCTACATCGAAGGCTAGCCTTGACATCGAGAGTTTATTATGGTCTGGATAAGTTAATTAATGTCTAATTGATAATTTAGATAACATTTCAGGCCTAAAGAAAGACTTGTAATAAGCAGATTTTGCTCTTGCATAATGCATGTTTAAGTTTTTGTATATTTATTGCCTATTTTAATACATTTACTCCAACCCCGTGGGTTTTCTCCGGGTCCTCCGGTTTCCTCCCACTGCTAAAGACCCCTACGCGCAAGCGAATTATTGAAATAAAATTGAACCATGTGTTAGTCCCGAAATGATCCAGTTTGTGTCGAGTGGACGTTCAACCCCATTTCTCTCTCTCCCTCTCTTAATACATTTACACAATAATTACAATATTATAACTTACGTGGTAGGTTACTGTGCGTGCCTCCCAGGAAGGATATAGTCCTTTTGACATTTCCCCTGTCAAGTTAACTGTTTAATTATATTTACCAGCCAACCAGAGAATAGCATGATATATTTCACTATGTATTAAGGGTTATATTAAACACTGTACTGTATGCCATGATAATAATGGTCTATGTTACATAGGTTATATTCTACAAAATATCAGAGGGTTGGATGGCCAAAAGGTTAGCACGTGCGCGCTGTATCATAAGGCCTGTCATTGAGTCAACTGGCGTGGTTTCGAATCCCGGTTAATTTGCTTGCTACAACCGAAAATCTGTCATAGTATATTATACATTTCTTGACAAGGAGTAGGGTCGTCTGTCCAACCTCGTGGGTTTTCTCCGGGTCCCCCGGTTTTCCTCCCACTGCTAAAGACCCCTACGCGCAAGCGAATTATTGAAAATAAAATTAAACCATATGTTAGTCCCGAAATGACATAGTTTGTGTCGAGTGGACGTTAAACCCAATTTCTCTCTCTCTCTCTCTCTAAAATATGCTGGCTGGGTAAGATGCTGGCTCGCTAGTCTGGAGGTCACGTGTTCGATCCCAGCATTGGCCGAGAAAGTTCATCGGGATTTTCTGACGTGCTTCCCCATGTCAATAGTGCAGGACAGAGGGTCTGACAAGGACAGCTGTCTAGTCCTTCGGATGGTAGGAATAACCGAGGTCCCGTGTGTACATTGGCATGCAAGTCAACGATCACTTGACAGTTTGGGTTGGATTTCGTTTTCGATAGAAAAAAAAAGTAGGCTATACATCATGATAATATTTTCTAAGTTACACAGGTTATATTCTACACTATATTCGGAAGTAACGGTGGATAAGTGGGTAAGACGCTGGTTCGCTAGTCTAAAGGTCGCGTGTTCGATCCTAGCATGGGCCGAGAAAGTTCAAGGACAGCTTTCTAGTCGTTCGGATGGTACGAAAAACCGAGGTCCAGTGTGTATATTTGCATGCAAGTAAAAGATCACTCAATATAAGAGTAGGCCATTGTGCCGCTGCCTGGGCAAAATTTCCCTCATAGCACACTTTATAGCGTATGGCCGTCTTCATTAGCCCAGTCGGAGCAGAACAGTAGGACGTTAAACCTCATGTCAGTTCATTTCTATACTATATACCGCGGTAATATTGTCTATGTAATAAGGGTTATATTATAAGTCTAGTATATAGGACACATTTATTATGACGGTTGTCGTGCGCTAACCAGTTTCTGCTTACAGTTTTTGAATAGCCAATAAAAACACTGCAGTCCGATGAAGATTCTAGTTTCAATTTATTTGTTTGGATATTTCTAATATATTTTTAGTGAGAAATTGGGAACTTGGCTTTTTTTACCCCTAGCTGGACATTGTGTTACAAGGGGCGTAGTCCCACTGTGGCATTTTGAAACTGAACATGCCGTTGTGAAAAGTGTTTTCGCCATTCTTAAAGATACATTAGTTAAAAAGTTTAATAAAGAGTTGGTCATTCTTGCTATGATAATTCAAAAATAGATGATAAAAAAAAAAAAAATATTGCAAATTTTAGTCCAATTACTTTATTCTTAGCGGAGGTGTCACTAGAAATAGGCAACAACTGTGTCAGCACCGTCTACGAGAATTGTCGATCATTTGATAGACAGACGATAACTCCAAACACATATGCTCGATTGTCAAGTAACATTCTCAATGGCTATTGTACCCTCGCTTCGTAGGCCGTTCATCGGCTGTATCCACGCCATCTGAGAGTCTACAGAGTTGATTTTGAGCTTTTCATGTAAATAAAGGTTTAATTAATAATTTCGATAACATTTGAAGTCTAAAAAAATACAGACTTGAAATAGGCAGATGTTGCTTTTGCATAATGTATGTTTAATATATGAAATGGCGATTCGTAGAACACGTTCTATCGTTGAATACTTTTACTTATATTTATGCATACACCACGCACTTGTATTATTCGTGGAACACCACCTATCGTGGAGTATTTTTAGTTAATTTGTGTAAACACCACATCGTAGAACACCCACGTACCACCTATCGTTTACTAATGTAATTTATTTTATAATTTTCAGCCGTTGTATACATTATGAGTTTCCATGGTTACGTGACAGTTATAATTAGAAATAGGAGTAGACCGTAGCACCGTTGTCCGGGTACAATGTCCCTTATAGCACGCTGCATAGCGTGTGCTCGTATTCATTGACGCAATTGGTTTTAAATAAGGCGTTAAACCCCATTTCATTTCTACATGATTAGCTAAACTCTTGTGGCACCAGCCTAAACTAGTGGGCTAACATTCTACTATATATCATTTTAGATTGGTCGCACATAGTTATTAAACGTATGACGAGCCAGTTGAAGGGTTATAAGTGGGCCTGGATCCGACTGGGCAAACAGCCAGACGAATTAAGATGTCACGTCCCAACCCTTTGTCAATTAATACCCTCGAAATAAATACTGACATTTTTTTTTAAATATTTTAACTCCTAACGAGGTGTGGGGTGACAAGGCCCGCTATATTTAGACATGCACTCTCAAACCCGACAAGGCGTAAACTTGTTTGCCTAACATGGGTCCCATTGCTACAGACCCCTATTCAAGCGATTAATAAGATAAAATTGTACCATATGATAGTCCCGAAATGACTTAGTGTTTTTTTTCTAAACAATATTTTTATAAAGATTTGTATCAGAATAGGGATTGGGGTACAGTCATAGTTTATATTAAACCCTTCTCCCTGTCAGATATAGATACATGTATTTACATTTCATAAATAAACAAACAATGACCTAATTTATGTTGAGTAGAGGCTAGCTCCCTCCATCTTTCCCTATGCGGAATGCTTAGCATGTGCGCGCTGTATCATAGGGTCTGTCATTGAGTCAACTGGCGTGGTTTCGAGTCAACGATTGTACGTGACAAGGAAAAGGGTCGCCTGTCCAACCTCGCGGGTTTTCCCCGGGTCCTCAGGTTTCCTCCCACTGCTAAAGACCCCTACGAGTAAGCGAATTATTGAAAGAAAATTAAACCATATGTTAGTCCCGAAATGACCTAGTTTGTGTCGAGTGGGCGTTAAACCCCATTCCTCCCCCCCCCCCTCACATTCACCCAATAATGTTATTAATCATCTACTATAATGGTGTACTAAAGGTTTACACATAGACACTTAATAAACTCAAATCAGACCTACTTTTAAATTCATTTAAACCCCACCTCTCTCTCTCTCTCTCTCTCTCTCTCTCCCTCAAATGCGTTCTTGTGTGGCGGGAAGAGGGTGGTTGTATCCTGTTTACACACCGGTTCAATAACAAAGAGTATAAATATACATTATTCAAGAGCTACATCTACGTATTGGGGATTTTCCATTTGGCCTCAAATGTTATATAAATCATTAAATTAGACGTTTATTTACAACTCCCCAATCTGAACGACAGACCCACAGCTAAATCTATTTGTTAAGGCCAGCTCAATTTTTGTCAAGGTCGCTGACAAGTTAGGGCATGTGATTGTTGGCGAGATTGTAGGTTAGGGTTAGGGTAAGCATTGGAACTAGGTCCAGGGTTAGGGTTAGCGCTAACACTGTTTACAACTCGTGACCTATGACGAAAAATTGAGCTGACCTTATCATTTAGCACTAACCACACGCCCAACCTACCTGCAAAAAAGCTAGCTGCCATTTAATTTTCGTACGTCAGTTACGTACGACAGCTTGCTAGAGCTTCGGATGGTTTTGATTTTCAAAGGATTTAAATAGGGTTGACATTTAATGATTTAATTTAAAAATGGTTAATCGAGACTGTCTTTTATCGTAATAACGGTAGCAATGACAATCGAGACTGTCTATTGTCGTAATAACGGTAGCAATGACAATCGATACTGTCTATTATCGTAATAACGGTAGCAATGACAATCGAGGCTGTCTATTATCGTAATAACGGTAGCAATGACAATCGAGACTGTCTATTATCGTAATAACGGTAGCAATGACAATCGAGACTCTCTATTGTCGTAATAACGGTAGCAATGACAATCGAGACTGTCTATTATCGTAATAACGGTAGCAATGACAATCGAGACTGTCTATTATCGTAATAACGGTAGCAATGACAATCGAGACTGTCTATTATCGTAATAACGGTAGCAATGACAATCGAGACTCTCTATTATCGTAATGACGGTAGCAATGACAATCGAGACTGTCTATTATCGTAATAACGGTAGCAATGACAATCGAGACTGTCTATTATCGTAATAACGGTAGCAATGACAATCGAGGCTGTCTATTATCGTAATAATGGTAGCAATGACAATCGAGACTATCCATTATCGTAATAACGGTAGCAATAACAATCGAGGCTGTCTATTATCGTAATAACGGTAGCAATGGCAATCGAGACTCTCTATTATCGTAATAACGGTAGCAATGACAATCGAGACTGTCTATTATCGTAATAACGGTAGCAATGACAATCGAGACTGTCTATTATCGTAATAATTTTAGCAATGACAATCGAGACTATCCATTATCGTAATAACGGTAGCAATGGCAATCGAGGCTGTCTATTATCGTAATAACAGTAGCAATGACAATCGAGACTCTTTGTTATTGTAATAACTGTAGCAATGACAATCGAGACTGTCTATTATCGTAATAACGGTAGCAATGACAATCGAAACTGTCTATTGTTGTAATAACTGTAGCAATGACAATCGAGACTGTCTATTATCGTAATAACGATAGCAATGACAATCGAGACTGTCTATTATCGTAATAACGATAGCAATGAGAATCGAGACTGCGCTGTCTGCAAACGAATGAAGTAATTCGACTGAAATTTTCAACATATCTATTCAACTTTTGTAACGAAGACAGTCAACTCTTTACATAGCTCATCCTTAATAGACATGTACCAATAGTGTGCGATCCCGGACAGCTATTACGCAATTATGTTTAACCAGTGGACGAAAACAGGATGTTTATGTATAGATGTTTATATATAAATCTGATATCTAGTTATAGATGTTTATCTTGTAATAATCCGTACAGAGCAAAGGTAAGATTCTTCTTTCACTTGTTGATGTTGAAAGATGCATTATGTTGAAGATGCATTATGTTAAAGATGTATTGTGTAATATTTAGATAAAGAGCTACTATAACAGTTTTAAAAAAGATGATTTAAAGTTAAACATACATTATTACGTCATATTAATAATGATGTCAATCATATTAAAAATACATTATGCAAGAGCTAAATCTGTCTATTGCAGGTCTTTCTTTCAGCCTAAAATGTTATCTAAATTATTAATTAGACATTAATTAACTTAATAAGTATGTGTTACAGTTTATTGCTCTATCCAGTTACTAAATGCCTCTAAAAGATCATATAGTGAAACCCTTCGCTTACTTGCCATGTCAAATTTCATTTAAACATACATTATGCAAGAGCTAAATCTGTCTATATTGCAGGTCTTTCTTTAGGCCTGAAATGTTATCTAAATTATTAATTAGACATTAATTAACTTATCCAGACCACAATCAACTCTAGATGTCATCGCTAGCCTGTGATATTTACTAGATTATGATCCCATTTGCTGCATAACTTTCCTTCTCGATTAAACGATTAAATGGATAATCGAGACTACGCTGTTTAACGTACTGACTTTAGTAATGATGACCGAGGCTAGGCAGAAATTTTATTCGCTTAGTTCTCGGTTCATAGTGGATCAATTTGAATGGAATTTTCAGCAAATTGCCTTTACGTTATCTAGTTTTTAATTATTTTAGTGAGAACTGCCAACTCGTTATCGAATCTCCCATAATGTATCTTTAATATATTGAACATTTTATTCAAATTACTTTATTATGAGCGCCGTTGTCACTGTTTGAAGTCTTGACATAGATTGCTTATTATCGTAGTAACGTTACTTGTTAATCGAGACTCTATCTTCGCATCTCCATTTTTAAATTAAATCATTAAATGGCGATCTTATATCTATCCATTTACATCTCCACCATCCGATCGTCTAGACCAGTGGTTCTCAACCTTTTTTTGCTAAAGGCACACCTTGGAACACATGACAAAATAGCGGCACACCTGGCTAAATGTACATGAAAAATATCTGAATTTTGCAATATAAAAACATGGTAAGTCGGACGGAATACAACCGTAGACAGGGACTAGTCATAGACACACAGAATGACTCATAAAGAAAAACACCACAGCTATGAACTTATCAGTAGACACCAGTGAATACTTATTTGGGATCATGTAGGGTTTTTTACATTTTCTTAGTGTGCCGGTCAAAATTTCGCGGCACACTTAGGAAGATCTCGAGGCACACCTGTGTGTGCCGCGGCCCACTGGTTGAGAATCACTGGTCTAGACAGTTGATTATTGGCTTGTCATTTGAATAAATATCTGAATAAATATTTACACAACATTTGGAGACAAACTATATAACATGCAGTAGACTGATTCAGCTCTTGAATAATGCATCATTAATTGAGTGAAATCTCTATTGGAACCTAATATCGAAAATGAAGATAAGCATACGCCACAGGGGAAATTTTGCCCGGACAGAGGCATTGCGGCCTTCTCTTATATCGAATTCCAACTGCAAATGGGGGATCATGTGGCTAAGTGGGTAAGACGCTGGTTCGCTAGCCTGGAGGTCGGGTGTTCGATCCCTGCATTGGCCGAGAAAGTTCATCCCGATTTTCCGGCGTGGTTTCCCCTTGTCAGTGATGCAGGACGGAGGGCCTGACAAGGACAGCTGTCTAGTCCTTCGGATGAGACGAAAAACTGAGGTCCCGTGGAATGTACGTAAAAGACCCCTTGGCAGTTGGAATTCGATATAAGAGTAGGCGATAGTGCCGCTGCCCGGGCAAAATTCCCCTCATAGCACACTGTATGGCGTATACCCATCTTCATTAGCCCAGTATAGGAGCAGAACAGTAGGACGTTAAACCCCATTTCATTTCAAATTCATTTCATTTCCAACTGCAAATGGATCTTTCACGTTCACACCTATGTGTACAGCGTCCTACTCACTTAGCCAACGTGGCTCCGCGAAAAGCTATGTCTCGTGCACACGCAGACGCCCATGTAAAGTAAACTTTGTCAGATGTAATTCGGTGACAATCAGATAATTTAGTAATAAATCCTCCGTCCAACCTCGTGGGTTTTCTCCGGGTCTTCCGATTTCCTCTCACTGCTAAAGACCCCTACGCGCAAGCGAATTATTGAAATTAAACCATATTTTAGTTAAACACCATCTCTCTCTCTCTCTCTCTCTCTCTCTCTCTCTCTTAATCCTCCGAACACTTGTCTACTTAAAAGTAAAACAGAACCAGTTGAACAGTTCTGAATGACTTGGTGATAGTAACAGTTGTAGGGAAAATGTTGTTATGATAATTGGTCTCATTATGATAAATCCGGTATCCTTGACATTTCTACATAATTAGATAATTGTAAATACATAATACCGATGGGGTGTTCCCACTTTGCCGGCAGGCTTTGATGTCAAATTTTACCGCTTATCCAGAGTTAATCCTAGAACAATGTTGTTATAAACTATAGGCCATATCTTTTTTAAGAATAAAACTGTATTGATTTTAACAAATTTAATTTTTATTAAATGGCATTAAATAATTTACGCATATAAAAATGCATTACAATTTACACATTACAGTGAATTGAATTCATGTTTGAATGCATAACGCCGGCATGTACTGTGTTCAAAATGTCATAAACCGAACATAAAACCGAGAACATAAAACGCCCCATGAAGTTGAAATTCGAAATAAGGGTAGATTATAGCGCCGCAGTTCGTGCAACATTTCCCGAATAGACTTCATGGCGCATACCCGTCTTTATTAGCAAAGTTATTGAACAAACGCAGGGCGTTAAAACCCATTCCCGTGCATTTCATATACCTAGCTTGGCGGAGGAACCTAGGGCGTTAAACCCCATTCCCGTTCATTTCACGCCCCTAGCTTGGCGGAGGAACCTAGGGCGTTAAGCCCCATTTCCATTCATTTCACGCCCCTAGCTTGGCGGGGGAACCTAGGGCGTTAAACCCCATTCCCGTTCATTTCATACACCTAGCTTGGCGGAGGAACCTAGGGCGTTAAACCCCATTCCCGTTCATTTCACGCCCCTAGCTTGGCGGAGGAATCTAGGGCGTTAAACCCCGTTCCCGGTCTCCTTTTATGTCACGCTCAAAACTTGGCGGAGGAATCTAGGACACTAAACCACATTTCGTATCATTTCACACCCCAATATTGCCGGAGGAACCTAGGGCGTTAAACCAAATTTCGTATCATTTCAAACCCCTAGCTTGGCGGAAAACCGCGAGACTCCGGTCTCCTTTTATTTCACGTCCATCACTTGGCGGGGGCACCTAGGGCGTTAAACCATAGTTCCTATCATTTCACATCCCTAGCTTGGCGGAGAACTGTGGGACTCCGGTCTCCTTTCATTTAAAGCCCCTAGCTTGGCGGGGAACATAGGGCGTTCAACCATAGTTCCTATCATTTCAGCTTGGCGTAGGAACTTGGGGCGTTATACCAAATTTCCAATCATTTCTTGTCCCTAGCTTGGCGGGGGAACATAAGGCGTTAAACCTAATTTCCCAACCCTAGCTTGGTTGTAGAAAAGTATGACGTTACACACCATATCCCTTAGCAACCGTAGTGTCTGTTACGCTTAGAAACGTACATGGCGTACCCTGGGGATCTGGGTATGTTGCTGTATTTTGCAGGTCAATACAGGAGCATTAATAACATCATTCTATTTTGCCATGATGTCCGAACACAACACGAGATAGTGAAAATGTAGACTGGACAACCTGCTCTAAATGACGTCAGCTGGTTCCTTCGTCACTGCGCTATTCTGACTTCAATGCAAGTCAGAAAAGGAGTGACGTAGGAGCGAGTCTGACGTATTAGAGCAGGCTATCCAGTCTAGTGAAAATGTTGAGAGAATACTCTTCGAAATAAATCAGTAACTGTTCTTCCATAAGTATGTGTTATAGTTTATTGCTCTATCCAGTTACTAAATGCCTTTAAAAGATTATTTAGGTAAACCTTTCGCCTACTTGCCTCGTCAAATTTCATTTAAACATACATTATACAAGAGCTAAATCTGTCTATTGCAGGTCTTTCTTTAGGCCTGAAATGTTATCTAAATTATTAATTAGACATTAATTAACCTATCCAGACCATAATCAACTCTAGATAGCATCGCTAGCCTGCGATCTTTAGTGGATTATGAGCCGATTTACTGCATAACTTTCCTTCACGATTTAATGATTAAATGGATAATCGAGACTATGATGTTTATCGTACTGACTTTAATAATGATGATCGAGGCTAGCAGGAAATTTCAATCGCTTAGTGTTCGGTTCATAGTGGATCAATTTGAATGAAAGTTTTAGTAAATTGCCTTTACATTATCTTGTTTTTAACTAGTATAGTGAGCACTGCCAACTCGTTATCGAATCTCCCATAATGTATTTTTAACATTCGAGTCGCATTCTATAATTTTCTTTGTTTACAATCCAATCCTTTTTATTTTCAGAATCCAATCATTAATGAAGATGGGTAGAAGTCTAGCCTCATCGTATTATGACTTCAGTGAAAAACTGAACTTTTATTGGACAAGTTTAATTCTTCTACTGTTTGTTTTTCTGGTTGCTGTGCTTAAATATGTTTTTTTGGGGTCGTTGATCAGCTGCTTGACCCCTGTCCATTTCCCAAATCCAATGGGTAATTACGCCCACACGGTATGTTGGGAAAACGACAAATTTTACATTCCACTGGATGATGAGTCATTAGTCCCTGAACAAAATTTAAGAAACGATATGTCAACAGCGACATTCCATACCTGGATTCCAGTCGTTCTAATATTTATGATGTTAGGATTCCAGATACCACGTGGTGTCAAGCTGGTGTGTGATTTATGTTTAGGAAATCCGACCAACACAATTAGCGATAACCAGACAGAGAATGCTGAACAACTAGCTCAGATCATCAGAGAATCTCGGTATCAAAGCTCATTCATTAGAACTCTATCCTTCATTATTGTCAAAATCTTGGTTGTAGTCAATATTTTGATCCAGTTAATATTTGTCAAATTGTATTTCCGAAATTCTGTCAGATATGAGGCCATTGAAAGTTACGATTCGGATTTGGACGAGATAGTTAATAAAACCACCCCTGTCTCCGTTTACATTTTCCCTAAATCCATTTTATGCGATTTTTCCATCAAACAGTTTGAATCCGTTCAAAGTTACACCATCCAATGTAACATGCCCATCAACTATTTATACGAACAGTTTATTCATATTTTCTGGTTTGGGCTTTTGGGTGTCGGTATTTTCACTGGACTCGTTCTGGTCGTTCAGTTGGCCTCGCTTACTATACCGCCATTTGTCAGACTTCGATTCCGTGGAATTATTCCCGAAAAAGAATTGAATCAACGAAATTTTTCTATCGATGATTCGTTGTTGATGTTGTTGGACATTGAGAATAGATCTGGCTTGAGCATGGCGCGCACGGTAGCCACCCTTTTGTTCCAGTCATCAGGAGACGACGCGTTAACAAGTATTCCCATGACGACTAATGGTGCAAATGCCCAGACTCATACCAGCCCGCCCCCTGGCGTTGACGAGAGTAAATATAATAGACTACAAGACTCGTGTAAGATGTAAATACTGGTCATTTTTTTTTATACGCAACTTATGCTTTCTTTGCACAATTAGTCCCGCTTAAGAATGACACGAAGCAAGTTGACCGACATTCCTACATCAACGATTTCATTCGAAAATACTAAGCATATATTAAGAATTTCCCCCCCCCCCGCTTCCATTTAATAACAATTTATTATTATACTTATTATCATATGTAACGCTTTATATTTTATTATCATACTTTATGAGAATATTTAAAGCTCTATATTTTATTATCATACTTTATGAGAATATTTAAAGCTCTATATTTTATTATCATACTTTATGAGAATGTTTAACACTATATATTTTATTAGTATACTCAATGAGAATATTTAACACTCTATAGTTTATTATCATACTTTATGAGAATATTTAAAGCTCTACATGTTATTATCATACTATATGAGAATATTTTATGCTCTTTATTTTATTATCATACTTTATGAGAATATTTAAAGCTTTATATTTTATTATCATAATTAAATGATAATATTGGAAACTCCACATTTTATTATCATACTTTATGAGAATATTTAAAGCTTTTAATTTTATTGGAAGCTCCACATGTTATTATCATATTCTATGAGAATATTTAAATCTTTATATTTTATTATCATACTATATGAGAATATTTAAAGCTCTACGTTTTATTATCATACTATATGAGAATATTTAAAGCTTTTAATTTTATTGGAAGCTCCACATGTTATTATCATATTTTATGAAAATATTTAAAGCTTTATATTTTATTATCATACTATATGAGAATATTTAAAGTTAGATATTTTAATGCCATACTTTATAAGAATGTTGAAATCTCTACCTTTTGTTATCATATTTTATAAGAATATTTAAATCTCTATCTTTTATCATCATACTTTATGAGATTTTGTAAATTGTATTTACCGCAGTTATGTAAGGTTTAATATTCAACTGGGACATTGAAGAATATACAATCTTCTGTACACTCTACGTCACTCGAGCAGACCACAAGCCGATAGGTTGGGATTACATCTTTAAGATTATTTAACTTTCTGTAAATTTGAACCTAAAATTCATTTTAATCTATGGTCATAATTCAATTAATAATCTAAATTTAGACTACCGGCTTCATTTGAATGAAATCCAATATTTTATAATGTTTCAATATGTTTGTAATACATACATAATAAAACTAAAATCCATAGTCTGGTTCCTTCTTTCTTGTTCTCTGGGGGGCGGGGGATGGCCGAATGGTTAGCACGTGCGCGCTGTATCATAAGGCCTGTCATTGAGTCAACTGGCGTAGTTTCGAATCCCCGGTTGTGTGTAAGGAGTAGGGTCGCCTGTCCAACCTCGTGGGTTTTCTCTGGGTCCTCCGGTTACCTCCCACTGCTAAAAGACCCCTACGCGCAAGCAAATTATTGAAATAAAATTAAACCATATGTTAGTCCCGCAATGACCTAGTTTGTGTCGAGTGGACGTTAAACCCCATTTCTCCCTCTCTAGTTTTCTGTCGAGTTATTTTGAAAATATCGATATGTGCCTTGGGCACAATAGCCAACGGGGACCGGAAATACGCTAAAAGTCTTCTTTTTTTTAAAAAAAAATGTAAATCACTGATTCGCCAAGCTCGGTACTCCTATATGAACCACTCACTGGAATAATTCTCATATGGTTTTCTTATGATCATCTTCGTCAATCTTGGGATTTATTCCCCAGCACCGTCTTAATTCTCTTCTTATTTTGCAAAGGATGTTTTTGGAAGTTTATGTAACTTTTGTCCGATCCATTGACTTTGTGGTAATAAAATATGTTTAAACCAACCACAAATCGGGCATGACATCAATGCAGCCATCTTTGAATTGTGACGTCAAATCGGTACAACTGTCCAAAGAGCAATCATAGCAAGTTTCCTGTCGATCTTAGCCAAATTAGGTGAGACCTCGACTCTATCTAACGAGCATCTTCCCAAAGGCAACAAAAAGAAAAACAACAAGAAGAAGAAGGTCCTACAAAATAAACTCTATGAATTTATGGGCTTTGGATGGCCGAATGGTTAGCGCGCGCACGTTGTATCATAAGGTCTGTCATTGAGTCAACTGGAGTGGTTTCGATTCCTCGCTCGTACGTGACAAGGAGTAGGGTCGCCTGTCCAACCTCGTAGGTTTTCTCCGGGTCCCCCGATTTCCTCCCACTGCTAAAGACCCCTACGAACAAGCGAATTATTGAAATAAAATTGAACCACACGTTAGTCTCCAAATGAGCTAGTTTGTGTCGAGTGGACGTTTAACCCCCATTGATCTCTCTATGTCTATGAACTGATGAATAACTATTTATTATTAAACGTTTAACATGCTAGTATATAATTATACGAAATATCAAATTATATAAAAACATGCAATACGTCAACATGACGCCATTATAACTAAATAACAAATAATATAAAAAAAAACATGCAATACTACAACATGACGTCATTATCTCATATAAAAACATCAACAGATATCAAATATTTCAACATGACGTCATTATCAGTAAATGCAAGGGCTGGGTGAAAAGGTCTATGCCTATCTGTGAAAGACCTGTACGAAGTCGATGGTTTCCATTTATTTTTCTAAATAGTTCCCCCTTCGAGGTGTACACACTTTTGCCAACGATGTTGCAAGACCTGGATGCCGTTCAGAAAGAATTTTTCTACAGTCACCCCAGTCTGATTATAACACAGATCCTATTTCGTTTCGATTTTTTCATAGTTCAAAATTTCGTTTTACTTGTCTTTACTACACTAGAATCTGGAAGAGTTGCTATATAACCTGCGTTCTGGTTGATGTGAGGGATTAGCCTATGAAACGATCTGTTGCAGCGAGTTCTTGGCGCGCGATTCACGGAATTGTGGATATCCTACTAGAAACATCAACTCGGGTTGGTTAATCAAATGTTTGACATCATAGGGTCAAAAGTCACTCGTATAACTCCTGACATGCAACATAACTAATCTGCAGTCAAGAGCTATGGCGCGCATCTTGCACAAACTTTTGTAAGTCCTAACTCGGTGGAGATATTGTACTCAACCCCTCATCAGAGATGCCCACAATACTGAGAAATATATCAAGTGGTCAATCGTCGATAATTTATCACCATGGCATGCACCTGGGTTATGTTTTCTTGAATGGTTGCTGTTGATGGCCTTGGAGGTCGCGGGTCATCGTCAAGGCTCTTTCTGCCACGCTTAACTTCCTTACCGTGTAAAAGGAAGAGGTATCATCCCCTAAAGTGGATACCATGTCGCCATGTATCTGTGTTGGGGTTATTCCTTTCAGTTGCAGTTATTTGATGAATGGCGTATAGCCAGTTTTCTCCATTTCTGTGGGTAGGTTCACAAGATGGTTTGGTGTAAAGACAATAAAGACATTACAGTTGCAGTTCTTATGTCTACCATTCAGTCAATGATTCTACTTATCTTGTTGGTGGAAAAAGTTTCAACCAAACTGATCTATCCTTTTCAGGCTTAGCACGTTTAAGCTAGCACTCGTATTATAATGTGGTTGGTTAGTTTCAACCCAATTGATCTACCCTTTTTAGGGCTTAGAACCCTTCAGCCAGCCCTGGTATCAACTGCTATAAAACATGCAACATTTCAACATGACGTCAATATCAACACATCAAATACTTCAACATAAGGTCACTATAAAAACATGGTATATTTCCAAATAACATCATCATGACGTAACAGTAGGACGTTAAACCCCATTTCATTTCATCATGACGTCATATGTAAATATCAGATTATATTAAAGACATAACGACACTATCAGTAACATAAAAACATACAATACTCCATCATGACGTCATTACATATAAATTCACGATTTCAAAATTAATTATAGATTTGAAAATTGTAGATTTCTAAATTCAAGATTTTTAATTTCAATATTTCTAAATTTAAGATTTTATAAATTTAGGATTATAAATTTTAAGATTTCGAAATTCAGTTAACCTATCCCATTAGGAAAGACAACCTACGTTAAATTAAAAACCAGAATCCGGTTAAAAATACAATAATGGCTTTCCATGGAGCTCAGCTGAGAACTGCCTTTACACGTTAAACACAATAACCGATATCGAATCGAACAGCTTTATAGCGTTTTGAGAACATCCTGACGAACCGGATTTTGAACAATATGCGGGTTATGCGCCCCAATTCCTGGCTGAACGAGTGGTGGCGAGATCCATAATTTGACAGCAACTTCTCTGGCCATGCTTAATCCTGAACTATGCTCAATATCCGACAAATACAGCAACGCATCGTCGAAACAAAAACCTCTTTGACTCAGATCTTTATCTGGAATAATTCCGCGGAACCGAAGCCTGACAAACGGCGGGATAATAAGCGATGCCAACTGGGTGATGAAAACGAGGCCAGTGTAAATACCAACGCCCAAAAGCCAAAACCAGAAAATATAAAGAAACTGTTCAAGTAAATAGTTGACCGGCATCTTGCATTGTACGTCGTAGTCATGGACGTTGTGCATTTGTCGTATTTCGAAATGGCACCTGATTGTTTTAGGAAACATATGGACAGGAGTGACAACGGTTTCATTATTACGACCAATAATTTGCACAGAATCCCGGAAATACCACTTGACAAATGACATCTGAATGATGATGTTGAGGCCCACGAGAATTTTGACCAGAAAAAATATCATCGTACGAATAACTCGGTTCCTCTCTCCGGCTTCTTTAATTGTATCGGCCAGTTCTTGGGCTCTGTCTGTTCTTGGATCAGTACCAATGTCTTCTCTCACCATGGCGGTCGGTGATCCTAAAAGCAGATCCGTCATGATCTTAAAAGCACGTGGTATCTGGAATCCTAACATCATGAAAACAAGAACTATCGGAATCCATCGATGAAACGTCTTATCATTGAACGAATTGGGTCGAAATTCGTGGTCTGGCATTAAATTATCAAATCCATCTACCATGACACGGTCTTGATTCCAGCATTCTTGATGAGTGTAAACATTGTGTTGCAATGCAAACTGGGCCGGAGTCCAGCAGGTTATAAGGGAAGTTAAAAATACGTATCGGAGAACTGTGACCATGGACACAAACAGTAGTAAAATTAGGCTAGTCCAAAAGAAATTTAATTCTTCACTGAAATCGAAATACGGTCTGTGAATTCTATCTGCCATCTTGTTTCCTTGGTGTTTGAAATCTTGACGTCTTGCTGTCCAATCAAAAGAAGTGATGACTTCGTGATGTCCAATCACATGACGTGTCTGAAGATATATAAACAAACCAATTAATGCATTCTATTCGCTATAATTATGATATTTCCGTGAACATGACAAATCACGAATAAAGTTAGAGTCACATACACCCGTCTTCATTAGCCCAGTCGGAGCAGAACAGCAGGAAGTTAAACCCAATTGCATTGCCGATCAACATATAAAAATATACAAGAAACCCTAATTTGTCTAAGGCAACTAGACCATTCAGAATTCGGGACAAACATTTGGTTGGTCTACAGGCTTCACCAGTTCACTAATTTGAACATATACATTTCAAGCAGGTCAGGTGATAACATTTGTCGCGCGAGCATTCGCGAGATTTTACGAAGAAGACAAGGGGACTAACTCTAGATATTATAAACGGAAATCGCAGAAATTTAAGCCAATCAAAATATTTCAGAGAAACTGTAACAATAGTATGGCCTCGACCTAATGTTGGTTCCAAACAAGTTAGACGTCACAAGTTATCTAACGGAATGAAGGGCCTACATGGGGATAGTGATTAGTCATTTTATCTTTTGTTTTGGGTTGTCATAAACAAGTCATATCTGTTTATATTTCAAACGGATATTGTGCACTTTAAATGTGAATTTACCAGATATTATCTCAAGGCCAATGTCCATATGTGGCTATTCCCTACGTCATTGGGGTGTAATTAACCAATGCTATAATGATTTTAAAAAGGCATCCGGAAACATAGAAGACGAAATGTAGGATAAGACGACCATTTGAATTCTGAGAGAGAGAGAGAGAGAGAGAGAGAAATGGGGTTTAACGTCCACTCGACACAAACTAGGTCATTTCGGACTATCATATGGTTTAATTTGATTTCAATCATTCGCTTGCGCGTAGGGGTCTTTAGCAGTGGGAGGAAACCGATGGACCCGGAGAAAACCCACGAGGCTGGACAGGCGACCCTACTCCTTGTCACGTACAACCGGGGATTCGAAACCACGCCAGTTGACTCAATGACAGAGCTTATGATACAGCACGCACGTGTTAACCATTCGGCCATCCAACCCCCCTTGAATTCTGAGAGAACCAATAATGTTGTGTTTAGTGAGCTTGAAAGAATGTGTCGTATGTGGACGAGCCTATTGTTAAAAACAGGGGAATCTGCTTCGATATAAAATCGATCACTTGTGCAGAATATATATCAGATTTGGGAGAAAGAGAGAGAGAGAAATGGGGTTTAACGTCCACTCGATACAAACTAGGTCATTTCGGGACTAACATATGGTTTAATTTTATTTACATAATTCGCTTGCACGTAGGGGTCTTTAGCAGTGGGAGGACACCGGAGGCCCCGGAGAAAACCCACGAGGTTGGACAGGCGACCCTACTCCTTGTCACGTACAACCGGGGAATCGAAACCACGCCAGTCGACTCAATGACAGACTTTATGATACAGCGCGCGCACGCTAACCATTCAGCCATCCAACCCCCCATCTAATTTTGGTAGCCGTGATTAAACAAATAAGTCCACGAGTAGGGAGTTACAATAGTAACCACGCCAGTCAAACCTAGACAAATGAAATGAAATGGGGTTTAAAGTCCTACTGTTCTGCTCCGAACTGGGCTAATGAAGACGGGCATACGCTATACAGTGTGCTATGAGGGAAATTTTGCCCGGACAGCGGCAACACGGCATACTCCTATATCGAATTCCTGCTGCCAAGGGATCTTTTACTTGCACGTCAATAAGTACACGGGACCTCGGTTTTGCATCCCATCCGAACGACTAGACAGCTGTCCTTGTCAGGCCCTCCGTCCTGCATCACTGACAATGGGGGAACCACGCCTCAAACCTAGACGATCAAGGCTGAAATCAAAGCTGTATCCTATAATACATAGCCTGCAATAGAGGCCAAATGATGACAACCGTTCAATACATCATATCTTTGTAAATACTGTTACATAATATTAATGCAACCCCCAGCGGAAGGGTTATGAGCTCAAGTTAAGAGCATTATGGTAGATTTTTAATATGTATTACCCTCAGAGGTAGGGTTGGCTCAAGTTAAGAGCATTACGGTAGATTTTTAGTTTTTGTTGTCGTTTGTTTTGTATAGGAAGATAAAGCAACAGAAAATATCTTGTTGAAGATAATTATATGTGTTTAAAATATTCATAATTACTTATCTCGAGTAAAAGTAATATGACAAGATCCTTAAAGATACATTATGGGAGATAAGATAAAGAGATGGCAGTTCTCGCTATAATAGTTAAAAATTAGATAGTGTAAAGGTAATTTGCTGAAAATTTCAGTCAAATTGATCCACTATGAGCGAGTGAAATTTTTGCTTTGTCTCGGTCATCATTACTAAAATCATTAATATAAACAGCATAGTCTCGATTATCCACTTTTATTGATTTAATTATCAATAGCCGTTAGCGGCATATAGGAATCTAATCCAGCCAACATCGAAGGCTAGCCTTGACATCGAGAGTTTATTATGGTCTGGATAAGTTAATTAATGTCTAATTGATAATTTAGATAACATTTCAGGCCTAAAGAAAAACTTGTAATAAGCAGATTTTGCTCTTGCATAATGTACGTTTAATATATATGGTATATGGTTATGTTATTGTTATGTATTTATAAATATTTCATCCTGTCAACTTTAAAAAAAAAAGAAAAATGATGATTAATTCAGAAATATTTTGGCTGCTTCACAGCTTTAGGAAAGATAGATAACTGTTATATAATATTAAGCAGCAGTGGTTTGTAGCTGTGTTGTGAGTTGAAGATACAATCAGTCTAGCTGATGTATGTCAATAATGGCCAAATAGTAGTCAAATAAGTTATCACACATCAATTGTTATGTAGCCTGCCATATGCTTATCAAAGAGATAATCTTAGGTATTGGATATAAAAGAGACGGGCTGTAGATTTCCACTAGACGAACTGGGAAGCTCAAGACAGAACGCGGGTGCACCACAATGGAAGGGGGTGTGACATAGAGCTCTAGTCATTATTGCTACACCACGACGAATTGTAGAATTTTTTTTTTTGTAAACAATATTTCATTTCAAATTTATGAAAAGGGATCAGGGAACAGGCATAGCCTATATCACCCCTATAGTTTGTACATTATCATATAGTTATATTGTTGTTCCTGTAATCTTATAATAAACCAGATGAAACCACAACCAGTTTTATTAGTATATCCTTTGGTACTATATCATAATACTGAATGAAACTCAACTATATTCTGATTGACATTGCAATCCCTGAAATGCCGATCGAAGATTTTCACTGATTATAATCAAACTTATCGAGTCTGTGTTTGATTAGAATATGCATAGTTGACACGATTGCTTGATCCCGAGATAGGCGTATTCTCCACCATCTGTTATGCATTTTGTATGCGTGGCGGTGTTGAAATACTGCTACATTTACACAATAGAACCATGTGAGAGAGAGAAATTGGCTTTAACGCCCACTCTACACAGACTAGGTCATTTTATAACTAACATATGGTTCAATTATATTTAAATAATTCACTTGCGTGTGTGGGTTTTTAGCAGTTAGAGGAAACCGGAGAACCCGCAGAAAACCCACGATTTTTCTTGTACAAGCGATCTACGCCTCGTCACGTACCAGCGAAGAATCGAAACCACTTTACTTGACTCTATGACAAACCTTATGATTTCATGCGTGAGTCAGCCTGTCAAATTATACGGCCGGACAACCATAGCCTACCTAATTGTATAATTGTACTCATGACATCTGATCGGTTAAAGCAATGATCCTTAATTTAAAAAAAAACGAAACGAAATGAAATGAAATGGGATTTCACGTCGTACTATTCTGCTCCGACTGGGCCATACAATGTGGTATAATGAACACTCTGCCCTGACAGCGGCGCTACGGGCCTACTCTTATATCGAGTTTCATCTGCAAAGGGGTCTTTTATGTGCACTCCAATGTGTACACGGGGCCTCGAGCCTCGAGGTTTCGTCCAATCCGAACGACTTGACAGCTGTCCTTGTCAGACCCTCCGCCCTGTACCACTGACAAAGAGAAACCACGCCGGAAAATGTCGATGAACTTTCTCGGCCAACACCGGAAGAGAACCCGCCACTTCCAGGCCAACGAGCGAGCGTCTTACGAACAACAATCCATAGATTCTACTAACCGTAATATGCTGGCTTGAATAAAACAACTAAATTCTCTTTAAAAACAAAATACACTAAGTAGATCACTCGTTGTTTGCTTGATAAACCCGGTGCGTCGTCCCACAGGAATAAAACATTATATGAAAGGCTTACAGGCGATGTGAAGCTAGATGAGTATATGAAGCCTGTATACCGAACCCTGGCCTTTTTTCACATTTGTAGGACTGACATTCAATATTAACTTGACAATAACACCAGTAATTGCCCTAGTTAATAGTCGTTTGATTAGCATTGAATATTATACTAAAGAGAATACTCGATAGTATGAATGTATGGAAGACCAAAACAGCTCTTTATTCAGTGTTCTTAATTCTTAGTTCTTAATTGATAGTCCTTAATTCTTATTTCTAGGACTATGAATTAAGAAATGAGGATTAAGAACACTGAATAAAGAGCAGTTTGGTCTTCCATATGAATGATCGACCAATTGCCATATGTCTTGAATATATGAACATATCTCAAGTTCCGTATTTTATTATCATGAAAATATTTAAGGTTCTATCTTTAGTTGTCATTCTATATGAGAATATTTATAAATCTACATTTTATTATCATACTATATATATGAGAATATTTAACGATCTATGTTTTATTATCATACTTTATGAGAATATTTAACGCTGTATTATCATACTTTATGAGAATACTAGCAGGATACCCGGCTTCGCTCGGGGGTCATAGCTTCGAAACCGGAAGTGGAAGACTAACGCCACCTGGCCTATGTTACTCCCCGGTCCGAGCTACCCCTATACCCCAAATTTCAGACTCGGGGCAGACCTAGTGTAGCCGCCAACCCCGAACAGACAGACTTCGCTCGGAGGTCATAACTCCGAAACCGGAAGTGGTAGACTAACGCCACCTAGCCTATGTTACTCCCCGGTCCGAGCTACCCCTACACCCCAAATTTCAGACTCGGGGCAGACCTAGTGTAGCCGCCAACCCCGAACAGACCGACTTCGCTCGGGGGTCATAACTCCGAAACCGGAAGTGGTAGACTAACGCCACCTGGCCTATGTTACTCCCCGGTCCGAGCTACCCCTATTCCCCAAATTTCAGACTCGGGGCAGATGTAGCCGCCAACCCCGAACAGACAGACTTCGCGCGGGGGGTCATAACTCCGAAACCGGAAGTGGTAGACTAACGCCACCTGGCCTATGTTACTCCTCGGTCCGAGCTACCCCTAAACCCCAAATTTCAGACTCGGGGCAGACCTAGTGTAGCCGCCAACCCCGAACAGACCGGTTTCGCTCGGGGGTCATAACTCCGAAACCGGAAGTGGTAGCCGCCAACCCCGAACAGACAGACAGACAGAGGGACAGACAAACGACAGTCACAAATATATATATATATAAGATTCAAAACCCTACATTTTATTATCATACTATATGGAAATATTTAACGCTGTATTATCATACTATATGAGAATATTGGAAGCTCTACATTTTATTATCATACATGTACTTTATAGCAATATTTAACGATCTATATTTCATTATCATACTATATGAGTATATTTATAACTCTATATTTTATTATCATACTATATGAGAATGTTTAACTCTATATTTTATTATCATGTTTGAACACGCTACATTTTGTTATCATACTTTTATTAGAACATCGTAAAAGGATTCTAAATCGAGTTATGTAAGGTTTAATGTTTTATGTCCCGCACACTCTACATTGGATGCTATTTAATCTAAGTTTATAAATGAATAATTTTAATTTAGTTTAGATTTTTATAACAGGTTATTTAAAGATGCCTTCCCACGTACAAACTCTTTGATGATATATTCAACGGCGTGGATGTGTCATACCTTTTGGCGGGGGGGGGGGGGCGGCGGCCGAAAACTGTCGCTTGAAGAATGGCAATTATTGTTCCAAGTTCCGATTCAGTTCCAGATACGTAGAAACAAACTTACCATCATGTGGATGTAAACCTGAAAATCTGTCCTGGCGATCAAAATCATGAGGGGGGGGGGGAACAAAGACCTATTCGCCCCCCCCCCTTCCGATTCTAAGTCCACGCCCATGGATATATTTGGACTAAAACATATTCAAACTAATACGCAACAAAATCTAATTTGGCCTTGGCAAATGAATGAAGTTAGATTCACATACACCCGTCTTCATTAGCCAAGTCGGAGCAGAACAAAAGGACGTTAAACCCCATTGCATTGCCGATCTACATACACAACTATGCAAGAATGCCAAATTTGGCCAAGGCAACTAGGTCATTCAGAATGCGGGACAAAAATTTGATTGGTCTACAGGCGTCACCATTTCACTAATTTGAACAATGCATAGACATTTCAAGCGGTCGGGAATTCACAAGATTTTTCGAAACAAACAAGGGGCAAAACTCTAGAGATACACTAACGGAAATCGCGGAAATTCAATAAGTCTTTTAAGTGGTCATCAAAAGATTTCTATATCATATATATTATAGTCTGCAGTAGAAGCTCAATGATCACTAGCACGATCACTAGTAATGATGATCGAAGCTAGCCTAAAATTGAAAAGCTAATATCACGGTTGAGAGTGGAGCGATTTAACTGAAATTTTCAGAAATATATTTACGTTATCCATTTTTTAAACTGTTATAGCGAGAACTATCAACTATTTATCTAATCTCCCATAATTTCCTTTTAAGCTTAAATCAAGACGACTACAATTCCACTTGTACAAGAATGTACGCCTACAGCCCACAGAAGCCGGTACCACGGTCCGTTTAGCTTTAGGTCATTTGAGGATCCTGTTAAATAAAGGGCGACGTAACATACAGTAAAATATGGCGCTGACCGAATCACCCTACCGAATTTAAATATTTGTATACTTTAGTTTGTACGGCCTAGCTGCCACCATAACCTAACTATACACTAAAATATGGAACGGACATTCCGTAATTCACCATGTCAAAGTTAAATATTTTTATGTAATTTAGATGAACGGCCTGACCACCATAACATATCCAAGAGAGAGAGCGAGAGAGAGAGAGAGAGAGATGGAGAGAGAGAGAGAGTGAGAGAGAGAGAGAGATGGGGTTTAACGCCAACTGGACAACACAAACTAGGCCATTTTGGGACTAACTTATGATTTAATATTATTTCAATAATTCGCTTGCACGTAGGGGTCTTTAGCAGTGGGGAGGGGGAACCGGAGGACCCGGAGAAAACCCACGAGATTGGACAGGCGACCCCATTCCTTGTCAAGAAATGTATAATATACTATGACAGATTGTCGGTTGTAGCAAGCAAATAAATATGAAATGGTTTTTCCGGGGCCGTTCCTATAGTAACCATTAGTGAACCACCGCCTCTGTACAACAAAATTTATTTCTTTTCAAGAATTTGGTTTCTGATCGAACTGCCTGACCTATTGATTTAGGTCAGCGATATTTGATTTGAAAAAGGAAAAAGAAGCAATAGATTCAACTAACCTTAATATTCTGGCTTGATCAAAACAACTGAATTCTCTTCAAAATGTAACCACACTAAGTAGGTCACTCGGCGATACCATAAGTTCGTCTGCTTGACCTACCACGCGCGTCTTCACACGGGAATACATAACACATTCTACAGTAGATATCGCTTCTGGGATAAATTTCATGTTCAGTGGCGGCCTGGCCTGGTTGTCAGCTTTCCCAATGGCAAGTTGACCCCTGAGGAAGTGGGCCCCATTAGACATTAGACAATATATTTAAAATATAAATTATCAAAAAATATTCTTTATTTAGTTTAAGTCATTCTATGTGTCTGTGTCTACGATTGTATGTCGTCTAAGACTTGCCATGTTTTTATTTTGCAAAATTCAAATATTTTTCATATTATATATTTAGCCAGGTGTGCCGCTATTTTTTCATGTGTTCCAAGGTGTGTCGTTGAGAACCACCGAGACAGGTTTTGATGAATATTAATGATTGGGACCGAAAGAACAGGAAGTAAACCGACAATCGTATTAAAGGGATATTATGTAGATTCCTTTCTCAGAAATATCGAGATGGTCAACACACTTCAATATGTTGTATCACGTGATTGTAACATCATGTCAGTTATAGTCAACAGGGTCACAACTACGAGTGTCTACTAGTCCGATGTTAAGGCAGACAACCATTAAATGCCCACGCCATTGGTACTGGCAATGTAGTTACTTCCACCCTCCCCTCTCTCCCTCTCTCTGTATCTCTCTCTCTCTCTGGACTCAGACTAGTAATTATTTCCCCTTATTTCACGAATGTAGTGCGGGTTATAAATAAACAATTTTTTCCTTACTTTTTTTCTCCCCTTTTCCTGCATTTGTTGGTTGACTTTTTGGTCTAGAATTGGAGAAAAAGGATCAAATTTGCAATTTCGTAGCAGTTTTGGGTAATACTGATGATATTACAGCGGAGGGATAGGGGGTGTAAAATGTCTTTATGCAGAGCAATCATTGTGTCGGAAGTGAGATTTTCACCCCAGTCAACATCAAATGCCCGTAGCAAAAAATCTAAACTGCCAACCCCCTACAAAATTATGATGAGGAGATTGCCAAATGTGGTCCCCATTGTGCCTATAAAGATTGGAACCAACGGAATATTGAGCAAAAAGCTACAGCCTCTGATGTTACAGCCATATATTTTCTGCCAGGTTTTGGTGAATATTCATGATTTTGAAGCAGAAGGATTCAAGAGTCGAGAGGTTGGTTAGGTTGAAATGTAGGGTCAAAAATTGCCTGTTTACTTGTCTCGACTTCCAGCTTGTGTATCTCAAGTTTTCCATGGTGAACCTCACACGGGCAAGAGGTTGCCACATGTTGCTCCATCTGTGGTAGAAAGCGTTCTACACAACGAAAATTTGGGAACAATTTAGAGCCGGTCTAAGAGAAGAGAATTAACATTAAAGTCAATGGGGAAATCATTAGTGATCTGTGGCCAGTTGGAGCAGGGCAGGGAGACTCGAGTTATTTCCCTTTATATGTTGCTGTTTACACTTTACGAAGACCTGGTAGATCGGTGAGTATAAAGCTGGTGCAACAGCCGCGGCAGCCTTCGGGTTCTCTTGTATGGTCACGACTATACAACAAAGTATAGTTCCCTACACCCGAACGGAAGCTAGTTCGTCAAAATGGAGGCCGCTCTATTCAATGAACTGCTACA